AGCACAGGGAATTAAACGGAAACTGGCGTCATGTGGAGATGTACAAGGTTGCAAGGAACCTCTGACCCACGTGCGTGTAAGCAACTTGTCTACCCTCCCGTGAAAACCCACTCGGACCGTTTAGGACAGTTTCAGCAAGAACCCAGGGACACACATTCAATACCATGGCATCCCAATCACCCTATATAACTGTCGAGCCTGTAAGACCCCCCCCCGGGCAGGTTTAAGTCCTCTTAAGCTTTAAGTCCTCATAAGAAGCCCTTCTGTGCAAAACGCCTACATGTCCAAGAAACCTCAAGGGCATTATCATTCCTGTCTAAGTTCGAAAAGCCCCCACAGCACAACAAGCAAGAGACTACCAGAGAAGACCAGGGGATCCTGGGGCACGATAGCCATGCTGGATCTCAGCAGCGGAAGCGGTAGCGACGTTGCACTCCTGCACCAGATCCAATGTGGGTATTTCCGTCATCGGGGTCGTCCCTATAGCTCAAAATATTCCTTGAAAAAGGACCCGTTGCTGGGAACCCCGCACGTTCTCAGTGAAATCGAAGATCCGCGTTAGACAGCTGGAAGCTCTCAAAAATGGATTAGGGGCCAAGGGAACAATGGTACAAATGGACCGTGGTCCCAACATGGCCAGATAATTCCCAACGTTGTGATTCCACAGCATGGATAGTTCATAGCCTGCTCGACAGCGGTATTTTTATTGCAATCTTGCTTCGGTGTTGCTACCTGCATGTCAGCCTTTCTTGATTCTGCTGCTAGCCCAAATCACAGCAACTACAAGAATGATACCACGGGGCCCTTAGTCCGACTTCAAATGTGTTCCTCGGCCAGGAAGCAAGCTTCCAGAATTCAAGTGCGTATGTGTCCAAAGATCCTACGCTCCATGTGTTTAGAGCTATGATGAAGCATGCCCGGGCATGATTTAGATCAGGCTTGGTTGCCACAATTTGTCCAAGTTTGATTTACTCCCGTCCCCCTTATAATGACAGGAGGGGTCGCGCTGGGGCCTGGGTTTTTAGAAATAGGAAAATAGACATTATATTGATTAGCTGGAAGCTTAGGAATAGGAACGGCGCGATTATATAATGTGATGTGCGTAGTATGTTATATGTCTTATTATGGTGTCAAGGTTTATAAACTCTATCCGGGTTTATAAACCCAGGGGAGGGGGAGGGGGGGGGGTAGGCACTCCTCCAACATGAGCTTGCTTCACCAAGACTCCCCACCCCCCCTTCCCCCTCCCCTCGCTGCTCAGGTGACTTCGACGCCATCATCATCATCTTCTTCGGGGTTGATGTTAGTTAGTTATTATAGGATGGGATGATTTTTGATGGTTGCTGTATGGGTTAGATATATAAGGTCTTATTCAAGCATAGGCTTGGAATGGCATAGTTACAAGGCTTTTGTATGGTTTATTAATATCATTAGGATCGGTATGCTTGGTTTATATAGAAAATGTTAATTATAGTTATACAATTTGGGCGCTAAGGTTCGTTAAGGTTTGTGGTTGGACGTATTATGTAAACACAGTAGGGTTTATAAACCGCCGTGGGGTTTATAAACCCATACCGTTCCATATCACGTATCTTTATGCACCTCGGCCGCATTAACTTCTATTATCATTACCGCTATTCTGTGCACAAAGGAAGGCAGCAAATCCATGTTGATTGTATTGTAGCCATTAAAGGTTCCAAATTCGAATACTTGTAGGCTCGTAGCTGTAGCATATACTACTGGGAGCCATGCAGCGATCCGCTCCTGTGGTTGGAAAAGTGGCCATTTGCGGAGGTCAGATGAAGCTGGAACTATTGAATATGAACCTAGTTTTCACGGAGTCCGCTTCCAAAGAGTCTAGCCAGTGCACACCACCACCTACTCCAAAATCCTTGCAGGAGCTAGTTGTGGCAAACACTATGGTAGTGCACGAAACCAAGAAAGGGCTGAATCTCAAGCAGATAGCCATCCAGTTGAACTATCTCCAGCGTCTCCATGGCCTTAAGACAGGCAAAGATGGAGAGTGGAATGCTACAGCACAGGAACAACTAGTTCGGTGGTTTGCGGTTCCACGTCGCGGCAGCAGCTCAAGTATCTCGGCCAACCAGCTCGCGCTGAACAACGAGCCCGCTAACAATGTTGACGAAGAGCCCAGCATTAGAAGCGAGCCTCCCATCAAGCCGGATGAGAAGCCCACATCTAGCACCGAGCCTCCCATCAAGTCGGTCGAGAAGCCAACGTCTAGCACCGAGCCTCCCACCGAGTCAAAGGATGAGCCCACGTCTAGCACCGAGCCCCCCACCGAGTCAAAAAGGATGAGCCCACGTCTAGCACGGAGCCCCCCACCGAGTCAAAGGACGAGCCCTCCCACAACAACGAGGCCAACACTCAGAATTCAAGCTCGGATGACTCAACCACCTCTTCGTCTACCAGCTCTACTTCCTCTTCGTCTACCTTCGGCTCATGGACAGCCGACTGGCATGACATGCGCGTGTCGTGTAACTTCCTCTACAACGAGACGGCAGGGAATCTGAAGAGGCGTAGGATTGTTCAGGACCTTAAGAAGCGGGTCAAGGATGCAAAGTCCAAGTGGGACGAGGCTGCCTAATCGGGCTCGTTCAGAATTAGTTGCTTCCACTTACTGCCGTAATCGGCTGGCTGCTTCACTTACCTGCTTGGCACCGCCTTAATCGGCTTAGTGGGCTCTAGTTGTTGCCACCTACTTGCTCAGCGCGTCTTCCTTGCGTAAAAAGAGGTTCTTGGTGCTTGTTGTGCTGCTGCCGATGTGGGACCGCTCATCACGCGTAATGTGTCGGAGATGGCTCTAGGCTACACCTTATATACAACAACAAGGGTTTATAAACCTCGGCTTGGTTTATAAACCCTTGTTGTTGCTATACATGCAAACTTTTATCTTCCACAGGCCCTCGTTTCATCAAGCCCTCGTGCTTCCCGGTTCATCGCTCTTCGTGTTAGCTATGGAGGCCTTGCAGGAGTGCATGGGCGCGGCCCAATCTACGTTCGTGAAGTTCAACCCAGAGCACGCCCACACCAAGGTTGACGAAGGCCCCTACTCTATCTCTGATCTTCCTTTGGTGGAGATACACGGGAAAGGCAAAAAGTTCAAGGAATTTTTCCGCATAGTCGACATGTTACCAAGAACGATCAAGACGCCATTCGCAAGGCAATGGAAGAGGATCCTACATCCATAGCGAAGCTGCCACCTTCCGTTCGGCCCGGTGATGCTCTAGGTGAGTCGTGCCACTACCAGATTGTGATTGATAGTCGTCACAACAAGGTGCTCGTGTTCTTCCACTCCACTGCAGCTTTGCCATGGGGAGTCGTACGGGTTTTCTGTAAGGACAAGGTGCATGTGCTCAACTACAAGGTAGCCAGTAACTCCGACCATGTCAAGTGTGCCTTCTTGGTCATGCTCTCGAAGATCCCCGGAGATCAATGGTTGACCCAGTCGCTTGGCACTAAGGTAGTTCGCCCCAGCAAGGCGTCCTCAGAGAAAGAGTCCTCGTGGGATCCATCTCCTGACGACCTTCGTACGGGTATAGAGTACATCAACACGAATGCCCCTTTAGCTAACAGCAAAAATGAACAGTTTCTCTGGACGCTTCTCAACGTGAGAGACAACACCCCGCCGATATACGGCTGGCCCCTTCACATTGTGAGCAAGGCCGCACAGAATCGTACTTCTGGAAATTGCCAAGCGGAGCCAGAGTTCTTCTTTCCGCTCTTACTCGGTGACTTGAACAAGGCCTTTGTGGATAAGATCGTACCTCTTGTTGCGCCCCGCATGACCAGTCACGGCTTGATCCTCCTCGGCAAGCCTGGTATCGGGAAGACGCCCCTCGCCATTGTTCTTTGGCGGTAGCCCGGGGCCTACAGGGAGTCATGGTTGGACGGCGGCGCTCTAAACAAATTGATGGTTTCCGTGAGAGACCCGGTGAGGTGCAGGTGCCCGTGCTCATGGACGATCCTTTGCTGGCCTCCATGAACCTTGAGGACATTAAATCCTTCCTAGACGTTGGCGAGACGGGCCTTGTCGACGCTAGGTACCGCGCTGCCAAGTTTGTTCGCAATCAGGTTCGCATTCTTCTTAACAACGAATGGTGTCAGGACAAGGAGCCCGACCTTCCTTACTACGACCACATTGGCTGGACGCACTTCCACGACATGTTCGCCCCGGCCGTGAGCAATGCGTCCAATCCACATCTCATGGCCATCCTCAAGAGAGCCAGTGTGGTTCTTGCCGGCAACAAGGCCGTTTACGTCAGGCTTCCAAGTGAGCACCAGTCGGAGCGAATCTATCGATTCGAAGGCGGTGGGCTCACGGAGGATTGGTTGCAAGAGAAGAACAAGCCCTATTGCGGCATGTACGAGGATGGTATGTTTGTGAAGTATTCAGGGTATGAAGATGCTCTGGAGAATGAAGCCACGCTCCTCTCGGATCTTCTTGCTTCCCCCGAGGAGAAGGAGTACATGCGCAGGGGTGCCACCTACGACAATTGGGCAGCAGACTACGGCAACACCCAGGAGCATCCCACTACACCCACGAGGGATAGAGCGTCAGGGTCGGCCATGCCTTCTGGACTTTCCGGAACAAGTCCATTGTTGAGCCAAGGTACCCAGGACATCGTCTCCGGATGCTACTCAGGTTGCTCCAGAGAATGACCATGATGCCGATGAAGAGGCAGCCCGTGATCTTCACTCCAATGATTCCGAGAACTAAGTGATCGGGTAGACTTTGTGTCAAAGTAATGTACATGGGCCTAGGAGATATCGTTCTCATTTTGCTATAGGCCTGGACTTCGGCACACCTGGACTCACGCGCTCTCATCGGAAAATGAAGAAGTATACGGGCGGATGCAGATGCTGCTACGGTACTGCTGCTGTGGATTAGCGGGTCACATGCTCTTGTAATCTTACATGGTGATCAAGCATAGCACCTGGTTTAGCCGTGTACATAGGGGTGTACAGGCTTGATAGCTATGCCAAAGCGGCCGGCAGCATGCTTGGAGGAGCCACTGGTCTTCCGCACCCATCTTCGCCAGTGTACGTGTGGTGGCAATCTTTCGCAGTCCCATGATGTTCCAGTAGCCCTCTACTCCATGGACAGCAAGCGCAGTGTCCGCATGGTGACAATGCGGTGCACCACCTACTCCTGTCGGGCAACCTTTGGTCCTAACTTCCGCTACGACGCCTCCAAGAAGATCAACACCGCCCAGCCGGCCGACATCACGAAAGCAGGGGCCCTCTTTGTCAACAACAAGGTCGGGTTCAGCGTATCCTTCTTGGAATACCACTCCCACCTCGAGTTTCGATCCTTTGTTGCCGCCACGGCAGTACAGGATGTGTATCGGCACACCTTTGGGATCAAGAATATGGAGCAGTCCGATCAATGGCGCAAGGTCTATTCCTCGGCCATTATGTACTATACGGGTCCTCCAGGAACTGGCACCTTTGGGCATGGCTAAGAGCATCATCATTGGCCAAGAACTCACGAAAGCGTCCCTTCGTGTGTACGATAAGCACATTCTCAAGAATGTCTTCGTTGCTCCCAAGAAAGCCAGAGTCCTGGAAGTGGTGGCAGACGGCCACTCAAAGGTGCACGTGGCCTGCGCAAATGCCAAGCGCCATGCAGGCAAACCTCGACCCGATCGACTGCCCAAGACTTACAGCCACGGCTGGTTTATGGTGGTAAATCCCACCGACCAGAGGATCCTCTGGGCCAAACCTATGTATGAGCCTAAAGGCAACGCTGTGCTGGAGGAGGCCATCAGCGAGATCCTTCCTTCATACAAGAACCTCGACGGTGTGGTGGTGGATCGGGCATGCGCCTTCCGTCCGCGCGCTTCCACTCTGAAAAAGCTGAAGCAAATTAAGTTTTGGGCCGTAGATGGGTTCCGTGCGCACGGGCATACGAAAACATGCAAGTGCAACCCAAGATTTCAGAAAAGGCTCGCTACGAGATTTCGTAACACGAACACTAGCGCGGCCGAACAGGTCTTCAGCTGGTTTTGCAATTACTCCCGTATTCTCAATGAAGCCGGGCCTCTCCGACACTCGTTTAAGGTCTTGTTGTTTTGTAAGAAGCACAATGAGGCGGTTGAGAAGAAGTCTACCGGCTACTTAAGTGCACGTGGACGGAATAGAAAAATGATCTCCAAGCCGTACAGCTGTAAGAAAAAGCCTGCCAGCAGACGCTGAAAGCTCCGCATTCGAGATGCTTGGAGCTCCAATGCTTGCCATAGCAGAGACAGTACGGCATTCACCGTCCACCGTGTGAAAATGAATGCTAGCATGCACCTTGTGCAAGCTGCAAAAGCTGACTATTTACTATACTATTATATGACTTTATGTTGCTTTCGTTTGCACAGCCAAGGTATCAACTATGGATCCTGTGACGTGGATCAGGGATGTCTTATATATTTACGTTTCTGTATATAACCCACAAAATAGCCTTCATGCAAAAACCCAGGCCCCAGGACGACCTGCCCTCTATAATGAACCCCCCATCCTCTTAAAAAATATCCTTCAATATAACAGCGGCTAAGCCCTATGAGGCTCCTTTAGTGACCGCACTTGGCTTCTCACAACAAGCCCTGAACCCTGTCTCTGGAAGATCTCAGAAGGTGGGATGAAGGAAGGTGGGCAATAGTAAAAAAAGCCCCAAGATAGTAAGGCATATACGAGGGATCCTGTAACCTACCTACCTGCATCCCACCTTCTGAGCCCCCTGATGTCTCTCCTGCCCCAAACTTGAATGTCGCCCTTCTCGGGCTCCACCATCCTGAAGCATGCCAGAAACCTTGAGCGCTCGGCTCGCGACTCAGGATTTGAGGGGGCTTCTATATTCGGAAAAATGGAAAATAAAATGGAAACTACTATAGTACATTGGGGTTATATTTGGATACTGTTTTTCCTGGAAACTACTGTTAGGGTTTTTGGGTTTAGGGCGTAGGGATATCAACCCTAGGGACAGACTCCAGGACCCTATGTAGATACTGCTTATTGACCTGGATCCCAGAATAAAGTATGTTTATGGTATCGCTCCATAGTTCTTGCTACCCCGCGCTGAGGTCACGCGAGGCCCTCTGCCTGCGGGAACACTACAGAATAGCAGCTGCCTGCTGCATCCTTCAGTTGAGGTTATGGGGAACGCCAACAAGTACTGTCAGAAAAGAAGTCTACGTCATTTCCCTGGGCTTTCTCCCGGTGCTGGCGTTTCGCTCTTGTTTCATTTACACGAGGAATTCCTTTGAGACCTTTTGAGATTAGCTAGGTTTACTACCAGCAACTTCCCATAAGTGCGTGAGAGCTTGTCCAGTAGAGCTCCTTGCATATACAGGCATCTGCCTCAAAACAAGAAACGATCAAATCACAGAAGTTCACAGAAGCTTGAAGAGAATCGTGCAACTTCACAGGCTTCTCAACATCAAAACTATCCGCGAGACAAGTGAATAAGGGGACCCTAACTTTGGGAAACCCCCAAGTCTCGCAGACTGAGTCAGCCCCAAGGAACAGGGTGGACTTTCCGCTGCCCGTGCGCCCACAAATGCCAACGCGCTCGCCAGCGTGCACTGTCAGACTCAAGCCTGAAGAAGGAGCCCCTGGGACCTATTAGTAGTGGTAGTAGTAGTAGTAGTAGTAGTAATAGTAATAATAATAATAATCATACTAGTAATAGTAATAATAACGATAGTAATAATAATAGTAATAGTAATAGTAATACAGATTCTCAGACTTAAGGGTGCTAACCTCCCACTATGGGCTATTAGACCCCAAAATTTTCGATTAGGACCCCATTAAGGGTAGACCCTTAAGGTCTAATAGCCCATAGTGATCAAAAGTTAGCGAATTTGGGTTGTAAGTTGGGGGTTCAGGGCTGGAGTGGGAGTTTGAGTGAAAGCCCCTGACGTACCATCAAAACAGTCTCTGCAGGCTGCTCCAAATTCCTAACCCCTCAATCATCCCAAGCACTCTCAAACTCAAGGGCCAAAAGGTGCGGGAACGCCGGGCCATGGCGAAGTAAGAGTCCATTAGTCATTGTGTGGACAGGACCTCAAGCCCCCCTCTCAATTAGAATAACTACTGACTGGCAAGTCTGGTGCCAGAATACCTGATCATTGAATTGGCATGGTAAGGATCAGGGGAAGGGATTTCGGACTTTTGCTTATTCAGCAAGCCTTGATCCTTACACGGCTCAATGCCATTGTTCGAAGCCCATCAAATATCCGGCGCACTGAGGGTTTAGGTATTCTGCTCAACCAAACCCTAAGCCCTGAACTGATCATGAACCTAAAGCCAATCGCAAGCCCCTCAACGCGGTATTGATGCCAAGCTCAGCTTGGTCAGCGTGTTACGAAGCACGACACTGTAACGTGTGAATGAATCTAATTGCAGGGAACTATGGGGTATGAGCTATAGTCTAAACTCCTAGTATCCATAATCCCCTATATAACCTGCCTTAGAGAGTGTAGACTATAGCTGACTATAGCTCATACAGCCTGGTCACGCCTGAAGCGTGTTCCTACCTGACACTTCGGAAGCCCGGTCGCCTTGAAGCGTAAGCGGAAGGTCCGGCTGATAGCGTAAGAAAACCTGAGCCAGTCGCCCGACGAAAAGGAACGGTTGCGAGTAGGGATACCTTCTGTCTTCATATGACCTTTCTGACGGCTTTGTACATGCAGGGTTAAGGGATGAATTGTTACTCCCTGTTCTCCACATACTGCTACATTGACTTTCCTTGCAGTCCTTTTGACTGAGCAGGGGACAAGCGTGTTAGACTGCGGGGTCTGAATCGGCATGGTCTAGAGTAAACGAGACCAAACAAAAAAAAACGCGTTGGGTCTCTGGCCTCAGCCACAACCCGTTCACCCTAAACCCCAAAAAGCCCAAACCCAGCACCCCTCATGTGAGCCGTAGTCTACACTCCTAATATCCCCCTTAAGAACCCTGTAGTAGTCCCGAAGATAATCCCCTATATAACCCCCCTTTAGCCGGGTTTAGACTATAGCTGATGTGGGTGTATGATATGCTGAGAAATCCTGCTGCCCCCTTCTTGAACCAGTTGCCAGGCCGGGCGCTTGAGGGAAAAACCTGATTAACTCCTCAGACCTGAGCGCGAAACCTGAGGGTTTAGGGTTTAACCCCAAGAGCCTCAAATTATTCAAATTCTTCTTATTGAGGACTATACGCAAAATGAGGATGTAATCTAACTCCATGTAGAGGGCTATAGGATTCCCAGGTACAAGGATCCCCAGTAAGCAAGGACCAAAAAAAGGCCCCCCTGTTTTCGCAGTGTTCTACATCGAACTTGGGACCCCAAAAAGGGAAAAAAAGGGCTTACAAAACATCCCTGGAATCCTAAACCCTTAGACCCTTGAACCCTAAACCCTGAATAGGACCCAGAGGCTTCTCTCAGCTCCAGCGCTGGCACCGAAGCCTCGTCGCCCTCCCCGGGCCGCAGCGTTGGCGGGGCGTCGCCCGCGAGCCAGGCAGCCCGGTCCTGCGCCCACTTGCTGTTTAGGGTTTAGCGTTTAGGGTTTAGGGTTTAGGAGTTCTGGAACTTAAATCCAGTTACCATAATGGGTATATATAGGGATAATGGAAAAGAAAATGGAAACTACTATAATGGGGTTATATAGGGTTTTAGGTATTAAGGGTCAAGGATTCAGGGATTTAGGGTTTCAGGGCTTAGGATCAGGGTATTTGGATTTTTGGGTGTACGGTGTCAGGCTCCAGGGTTGGTGATCCATAGTTTAGGTTTTTAGAGATGCAGGGTTTACGCTTCTGGAGTTTAGGGTTGATGGCTTAGGCTTGATGAAGGGACTGGAGAAGCAAAGAGCAGCTACTGCTGTTTAACATCTGGAGTTTCCCAAAATTTGGAAAACTTTCTTTAGCATTTCAGTGTCGATTTCGAGGTTCCCCTGTTTATGCTGACTGTCATCTACAGTTAGGGTGGCCGCTTGCACCTACTGGTGACTGGTACTTAGATCCTATATGTCCTTCGTTTGTGCAAACCTATACAACATTTTCATGGGCCTAATTATCCAAGAGATGTAAGATATCAGGGCCTCGTTCTTCTCCTTCTACTTCCACTACTACTCTCTGTCTGCGTGAGGACTGTCATTGTAGAGCAAACCCTAAACCCTCAAACCCTAGACTCTAAACCCTAAACCATAAACCCCTAAACCCTTAACCCTAAAACCCTAAACCCCTAAACCCCTAAACCCTTAACCCAAAAACCCAAAAACCCTAAACCCTAAAAGCCTGAATCCTAAACCCCTAGCCCCTAGGAACTCATGGGTTGCATCAGGCAACAGCTCCGGTGCCCTTTCTGGGTTCTGGACGCCAACTTTCAAGATACTTTACAGAGTAGTAGAAAGGGTTTAGGGTTTAGGGTTTCAGGGTTTAGGGGTTTAGGGTTTAGGGTTTAGGGTTTAGGGGCCTAAAAGATAGTAGCATCCTACACTGCAAATCTTACGCAACAAGGAATCTAGGACATCAATGTTGGAAATTATTTGGGCTTCTTCAACCCTGCGCCTTCTACCCTTCGCAAGTACGGCCAAAGCAGTTCAAAAATGCAGTTAAGGCTGACTTGAACATCATCTGGCTTTGGGGTACATTCGAGGTGAGAAGCTTGCGCATCCCACTAAGACCCTCACGTTTTCACACCTCATTTCCTTACCCTAAAACCCTAAACCCTGAACCCCCCAGGAGCCTCTGAATCACAGATCCTTACATTCCCGTCCTCCTTGTTGCCTTCCCATGCCAAATCTGCATATTCAGCGACACGCTGGGCTCCGCCAAAGAATTTCTCGAAAGTGCTCCAGCACCACAAGTAGAGCGAAATCCTGTGGACTTCGCGCCCGTTGATGTTTCAAGGTGAGTATCTCTGAGGCAATAATATCATGCTTTAAGTGTTTTTGCAGCAATTGTGTGTTTTTTTGCACCTTAAACTCTCTACACCCTATATAGTCTCTATATAACCCTATATTCTGCATGCTTATATTCCCTACTAAGAACCGAAGCCCTGAAGAGGGTGTCCTCTGCGCCAATCCCACCGTGAGAGAGAGCCCTAAGCCGCCCATCTCCGGAGACAGATTCCCCATGTAGATCAGCAGCATTACCTGTCTCAGAAAAATTAAGGGTATCGTTCAAGGGCATAATAGGGGTTAAAAAGGGTTTAGGGATTAGGGTTTCCCAAAATTAGGGGTACCATGTTGGGGGAGTTCGTATAAGGAGAATAAGAATATCTTAGGGTTGATATCGGGGTCCCCTTATTTCGGGAAAGTACTACCTACCTGTCTCATGGGACTACCATAACCCCCCACCATATGGCCACCCCAAACTAACAAGGCCTGATATTCCCTAACAGGCCTTAGCGAGCCCTAATGCCCTAATACTTGCCAA